TCCCTATTACCCCCTCGTTGTTGGTCCTTCGGTCTAGTCTTCTAGGGTTTTTTTTAAACGATTTTCGAATTGATTTTTTTTTAAGATATACGAGTTGGTTGCATGTTCTATAGTCCTTGTTTTTAACTTTCTGATTTGCGGACAATTCTTACATGTAGATCGTCTTCCAAGACCGTGAAAAGTATTTATCTGACGGAAAGTAAATGTTCGATAATATTTGATCTATTTGAATTTAAAGCTATTATATCAAATCGTTTAATGACAAATAACACATTAACATGCCATTCACTCTTTAATACAGTAAATAAACTATTTTCAGAACTCACGCAAAAGAACTTAGGAAGCCAAAAATGGTCAGTAGCTTAAATCGGAGATGGATGCATCAATATACAAATAATTTGAAAATATACATACTAACCTGGTCAGACACAAGTAACAGAAACTATGAAAGAAAAAAGGTTGTCAGAAGATTAAAAGTATCTAAGAAAGACAAGTAAAAATAAGCTAACATCATAATATATATATTAGTATGTAGTCTCTAATAATATTTCATATCACACATAATTAAACATTTCCAATAGGCCAATTAATGAATTAATGTGTATGGTTACTATCCTGACATAAAATATTTGATACTCAGATGATAAAATATATTTTTGTTCGCATAATAAACCAATTTTTATGAATGAGTAAAAATGGTTAAGAAATTAAAAATCGAAAAGTTTTAATCTGTGGAACAAATTATAACTCACTTTTCGAAAAGGAAAACAACCTTTTCAAATAGCAAACAAATTTGGTTTAATCTCTATATCTGGATCTTCATCATCCGGGAATTTTAGAAACTTTTGAGTTAAACGCTTTTGATGCTATGAGAAAAAAAATGGCTGGATATCTGCAAGACTTTTTCGGATCGGATTACAAAAAACTAAACATGAAATATTTGATAGATATCCGAAGATACTTGTTTTTGTCAAGTTTATTAGTTCCACGTTACAATTTACACTAGAGTAAATAAGATACAAACATGGAGTTTAAAATCGGTAATGGCAAAACAACTCCTCAAATGTTTATCTTTTGCGATAAATCAAATAGTAATTTATCTCTCCAATCATTTTCTTGTCATGAATATTTATTTCATCAATCTCTTTCACATTTTCAATCTTAGTAGCATCTTTAATTGAATATGTAATACTGGATTTTCATAGAGAAAAACATAAATATATTTTTTATCTTATAGAGGATTCGCTAGATTTTATGTACAAACTCTATAAGGTTTATTTCTAAGCGTCTATTTACCATATCACTTGAAAAAAACCTATCTTTACTATATTTATATATGTTGTATTTCATAATAATACGTGCTTTATTAATTGCTTTATAAACACCTAACGATCCCCAATTTCTTGGATTTTGTATCAATATTTGAGCCGTTTGGTACGTAAGGATCTTAGTATTTCTTCCATTTTCCAATGGAACTTACGGCTGCTTCTTTTTTTTTACATCAATATTTGAGCCAGTATTTTATATCAACAACTGACACCCTTACTGCGGCACTTTGATAATTCTCCCGTTACACACCGAAACTTACTGTTGCTTTATTTGTTTTGTATGAACAATTGAGTCACTCGGTAAGGGTCCCCTGGTGGGACAGCGGTAAGTCTTCGGATTTACACCGCTAAAATCAGGGGGTTCGATTCTCCTCGAAGACACAGCAGATAGCCCAATGTGACTTTGCTATAAGAAAATCCACTCAGTGAAGTGGCACTGAATCGTATTATCATTAAATAACTTCAGCAATTTCCCTGATTTTCCCTAGCACCATAATATCAATAACTCATCTACACCATCGTAACCTCGCTTTCGATTTTAGTCGAAAATATATTGCGAATGGAAAGACAGCTTCAAGAAATCAACGTGGTAATAAAACTCTTTGTGAGCAGTAACTACTCCACACCACTGTGACCTTACTTTAACCTTAATAGAAGTTTTTACATGCCATCTCAATTGGAAAGATGTAACGTAAAATACGGTAAGTGAAACTAGAAAGATACGGAAAAGGTAGCGTCAAGTAAGGTAAATAAAACAAAGATGGTATGGAAGAGGTAAGTCTAAGTAGGAAAATATGAACAGTGGTATGATGGAAAAGTCTGGGAAAATAAACCTACTGTGGCATCAAAGAATTGCATCTAAGTAGCCGGGAAATCATTTTGGTGTGAAAGAAGTACTCCTAGTTGGAAGAGTAAACCAGATTGATATAAAAGAGTTACATATAAGTAAAGGTAAGTCATGATGGTACTAAAGAGTAGGAAAGTAAGACCAGAATGATATGGAAGTGATACCAACTAGTTATAAAATGTGACCATGATAGTATAACAAACATACTTCTAAAGTCAGACCATATTGGTTTTATTTTCCTACCTCGACTTATCTCTTCCATACCACCTGGGTTTTTGTTTTACTTATTTAACTTACCCCTTTTTGCCATCTTGATTTTTTATTTTACCTGACGTGCCTCTTTCTTATCACATTGTTTTAATCTTCCTCACTTTACCTTTTCCTTACTACTTGGCGTTACCTTTCCAATTTCACCTTGGGTTTACTTTTTTACTTTGACGAACCTTTTCCGTACAACCCTGGTTTTACTTTCCTACCTTAATATATTAATAGTTATCCTTACTCTTCTGCGCTGACATAATTCTTCCATTGTATTATGGTCTACTAAGATGAGGTTCTCCCTTGGTTACGTGATACTATCGGGTTCTTCCTTGGTAACGTGATACCATCAGGTTCTTCCTTGGTAACGTGATATTATCGTATTCTCTCTTGGTAACGTGATACCATCAGGTTCTTCCTTGGTAACGTGATATTATCGTATTCTTCCTTGGTAACGTGATACTATCGGGTTCTTCCTTGGTAACATGATACTATCGGATTCTTCCCTGATTACTCGATAAACCTAGTCTAAGCTATTTTAATTTCCTGTTAGATATTTTTCTTTTCCTAAAATTCTGATTTTACTCTCCTCCCTTTTTTTTTCTTATTTTCTATTGGGTGATATAAGGAACCGCGAAATTTTCGTTTCAGATATATCGCCGACAGAATTACATTGTGGTTGCTTCTCAATGCTTTTAATAATAATAATAGTAGTAGTAGTAGTAGTAGTAGTAGTATTGTTTATTTAATTAAAAGTTAGTATTTCCTGTTTCCAAAAAATAAAAATAAAATACTGTCTTGACACTATTTAGAACTTTTATTAATTATTTTGTAAAATTAGTTTACCTACCGTTCAATATAGTTTTTAATAAGATTAAATATTCGTTAGTGATATTTTTCTTGATCAAAACACACTTCAGGGAAGTGTGGGTGTAAAATATATTTTCTGGTCTTGTTCATAAGTTTTATAAGCTATAACTGAGTTATATTCTACTATAAACAACCGGGGAGCATGTTCTTAGTCTTCCAGTTTAAATCATAACTGAGATATAGTTTACTATAAACAGATGGCGGCCATATTCTCTGTCTTCATAGGCACTATAAACTATAGCTATGATATAATTACAATAAACAGATGGCGATCATAACTACTTTATTCATAGTATTTGCACTAAAAACTATAACTGTGATATAATTACAATAAACATATGGCAAGCATAGCTTCTTTATTCATAGTTTTTGCACTATAAACTATAACTAAGACATAGTCTACCATAAACAGATGGCGGCCATATCCCTTTTCTTCATAA